AAAAAAAGAAAAATTCCCCTTAATTCGCTCAATTACCTTTAGATATGTTGTAAAATCTGGTCATCATGTTGGAGAAGACACCATCTTCATCAATTATGAGCAGTCTGTAACGAAAGCAACTTCACTCTTTTATTCGGTAATTAGGCACATCATCACTTATATTAGTGCTTCCACTTTTTCATGAAATGGGATACACTACATTGAAGATTACTAGCTCCCATAGTTGGTGCCTCGTCATTTTTAGTGTGGCAATACCATCCCAATCCTGAGAATTTGTCGCTTTTTTCTATGCTCCGTCAATAAAACACCGGTAAACTGTAAAATTTGCGTCTTATGTACCAAATACCTCAAGAGTATCAGATTCTCTCGAAACATCTACATGAGCTAAGGTTCATGCATGAGCTTCATCATTTGCTAATTTTAGGACTTCGCGTGGATCTTTTATCCACATTGTTGTATATATTATCATTCTAAGGCTTCCAGATATATCATATTATCCGCGAAAAACAATAAGGTGGAAGATCTTTTGGTAACCTCCAAAATAGAAAATCTATATTCGCGTACATCGATGGTGAAGGAAAATTTCCTGGAATCGAAGGGATTTGTGAAAATGTTCGAATGGGGGTGGGGGGCTCATATAGAACATTATTTCTTATTTCTTTATTTGAACCACATCTAGCACATCGTGTATCGCAATTTATGTCACGCTTTTCTCAGATTTGACGTAACTGAAATAAAACTAATAAGGATTTGTCACATAAAATAATGTAATTTCGGAGGACATCATAATTTTCATGCAAATGTATGTAGAGAACTACTGTCTAGACCATAGAAAGTACTCCATTGATTATTCAGGTTCTCTAACTAATTCGGCATGGTATCCTGATGTTGCCTAATAAATTTTCCGACTTGGTGAAATGCTATCCGGATCATCGGAATTAACCAACTTAATTTATTTGTTAACAATTATTCAATTATTTCGTTATTATGCTATTTTTTAACATACTACTACCCCTTATATCTACTATTTTTATTTGATTTAATGTCTATGTAACTTCCCAAATTTAAAATTGTATATTCCTATAATGGGGAAAGTGTTTTAAATTTATATAAACTTTTAGATGTCAAATAATCGAACCAAACTTAACCGACCCAAAAAAAAGAACTCAAATTGATCCATACCGAACCAAAATTTACAAGCAACCCATTTGGTTAAGCTTTTCTTCAACCCGAATCATTCAGTTTGGTTTGGTTTTGAAACTGAACCGAACCAATAACCCAAACTGTTTTTATCTATTAACTAATTTAATTAAAGTCTAAACCCTCGTATGATTTCTTTTTTGATATAAATAAAGTTTACTTAGTTTTTTCAATCCTAAAACCTCTAATTCTAAACCATACTTCTCCCAATTATATAAACGAATTATTCATTTTTTTCATTTTTGTTCCTTTATTTTTCATGTCTTCAAACATTGTTTTACATCTATTTTGACTTTTGGCCACCGATAAAACTTTTTGTGATATAAAATTTTAGTAACACAATTACAATTTCTAGCTCTAAATAAGTTATATATGACTAATGATGGTAAACTAAACCGCACTAAACCAACTCGAACTAAAATAAAATCGAACTAAATCGAAGCAAACTAAAAGGGTGTATTGAAATCAGGATTTTGGACATTTTTGGTTTTTTGTTTAAATCACATGTTATTCAACTTGTGATTTTTGAAGCACTTTTCAAATCAAATGTTATTGAAACTGAAATTTTCTGTAAAATCACTTGCAATCTCTTGTTATTCAATCAAAAATTTGTAAAACTTATATCAAATCACTTGTTATTGAAAACATAATTTTTTTTGGACGAAAACCACAACACTGATTTGGAGAGACTTTGTATACATTTTTACATGAGAAAACCATTAAAAAAAATCATACCTTCAGAAGTGTTATTTGGAAAAATTTGACTTATAAAAAAACAAACACAGAAAAGAAGAGATCGTCGTTCACTCTCTCGTTCTCATCGTCAAAACAAATCATCGTCTCTTTTTGTTCATCACTCTTAAAAATAACAGGGGATTTCAAACATGAGATCGTCTTGAAGGTTCGTAGCGCCGGACCAACGAAATTGGAGGCCCCATACGGATTACGGAAAAAATAATATCAAAGTTTTCATAAAATAAAATAAAAAACTAGAATAAAAATAATCAGTATAAGTAAATTATTCATGATTGTTTTGAAAATTCTTTAAATAAAAGATGTTTTTCTTATTAGATAGAAGAACTCTTGTGGCTTGTATTAAGAAAAAAAAAATTTAATCATTTAATTGTATATAATAATTATAAATTTATAAGATCTATATAGAATAATTAATATACATATACTAGATCATCACCCGTACTAAAGTACGGGTTGAATTTTATTTATTACAAAATTTATATAATATATATATTAGAACTAAGTTTTAATATATAATAATAGTAAGTGAAAAAATAAAATTTTTTTTGTCAGTCCCTATATACAATATTACAATAAATATAGATTTTTTTCTATAATACTCAATTATGGATATTTTTTTTTTTAAGATATGAAAACGGAAAATAATTTTATTTTTTAAAAAGTAATATTTTTTGAACAATGAGTTAATTTATGTTAACAACCACAAAATAGGATTGCATATATTTCAGTTAGATCAAAAATTAAAATATCATAAATGAATCGCATATAAAACATAGATTATTTTGAATTAATTAAGAAAATTAGCTATTATTTTGAATTAATTTAGAAAATTCTTTTTCAATTTTTTAATTTATAATTCTTTGGTTGTTGAAATAGAGATTTGTTTGAGCTAATCTAATTACAGAATTTGTTTGAGATTTATAATTACGGAATTTACCAATTATTCGCATAATCGAATATGTTATAAACATATATTTAGTATATAATAATACCAAAATCAACCCGTGCGTAGAGTCTATATTTTTATTTTAGAATCTCAATATTTTATTTTAAAATATTGCGTGCACAATCTATTATAAGTTAATTCTAAAATTGCTTGCGGAATCAAATTTTCAAATATTTAGAGGTGTCAAACCATATTTAAATGTTCTACACTATTTTTAAATATTCCAAATTAAAATCTTTAAATTTTTTTGTAGTTTATAAAATTATGAATTTCAAAAAATAAATTATATGAAATTAAATATAACTATTCAAATAGTTATAAGGATCAAAACTCATTTCATCATATAATATATTATATTTAACCCGCTACCTATTATAAATATTTTTAAAAATAATCAAATTAGAGTATTTATAATTTTGAACTTTTTGAACTATTAAGTATTGATGATATTCTCTAAAAATATCAAGTAAAACTTATTTTAAATGTTGCAAATTAAAATATTTAAATTTTTATTGTAATATATAAAATTATACATTTCAAAAAAATAAATGTATGAAATCGAATATAAATATTCAAATTCTGACCCGTTGCTCAGTCGGAATTTTTGTTGACTTTATTACTCAAGTCTGAATCTTTGACCCGTTTAATTGTTTCCTTTATAGATTGAACAATTTATATGCGTTTTTAAAAATTCAAATCTTGGCATATGCAGAAAAAAAATTACTTTTTTTTTAATTATGTAAATGATATGATGATTTATTTGTTTCATATTAATATAATCATATAAAGATGAGAGGTGAAGTTTAATGATTAATAACAAATTAATATGGTAAGTTAGATATCAAATCTTATATGTTCATTTTGATTGGTCATTTAAAAAATAATAATAATAACAGATTTTCGTTTTATAATTTAATTAAATTAATTAAATGACATAAATTAGTATTTTACTTGTTTATCCTTAATAAATTGAATGAAATTTGTTCTAAAAAAAGATTTTTGTAATGGCATTCTTAAGTAAATTCTTACAAAAGAGAAGGTTAGTTAAGGGTATCTTATAAAGTGTACTCCCCAAATAATAGTATAGGATATAACATAAAAATTATGTGGAGCCTTGCTAAAATGCATGTCCCATTGCATTGTTTCGTAGGAATGGGGTCAAGTCCGGCTCTGGTAGCGGTCATTATTGTGTTCCATATCAGCTTGTTCGTAAGAGGAGATGCGAAGAAGAACACAAGTCAGTCAAATACAAACTACTACAACAAAGTGGATGTGGAAAAACCGCTCCACCAAAATCGATAACGATGGAGTCTACGTACTTTTTAAATTTAATATCAACAAAAGTCTCTTAGTTCCAACTTTCCAAAATTGAAGTTGTAACACAAAGGCGTAAACTATCTCAGAATCATAACCACAATATGGTTTTTCCAATAAACAAGCTTTCTCATCTATAATCAGTTTCATCATGTAAAAACGTTTTTTAGTGAACGACATCTTTCAAAACCACAAACGACGTTGCAAAGAGAACCAAATCCAACAACCTTTTGTTGTTATAGCTTGGCTCTTTGCAATTGGTACTCGTTGATGGTGATTCCAGTTACTTGAACTTTTGAATGGTCCATCGATGAAAAAACTCTCTGCTACGAGTTATGTCACTTCCATTTTTTTATATTATTTAAATCCAAGTTTTCTTTTTTGTTACAAAAATTTCACCAAATCACCGGATATTCTCTCTTTAAAATCTCACCAAATCACAAATTATTTTTCCTTTTTAGTTTTTTTAAATGAAAAATCTAACAATTCCAACAAAAAGTATACTAAAAAGTCACTACATTTTTCAAATCCCCAATTTCCTAAATTTCACAAAATCATCCTAAATCTTTACCCAATGCACCCTCCTAAAACCAAACGAAGCTACGCCAAACCAAACTGAAATGCACCAAACCAAACCGAACCAAACTATCGTCGATTTGGGTTTGGTTAGAATTTTCATAAAACCAAATTAACCGAACTAAACCGAACTCAAAAATAAACCGAAATGCCCACTATGTAAGAACAAGTTTCCGGTTGTTATTAAAAAAAAAAAAAACTCAGCTTGCCGGTGAAAGCGGCGGCAGATGAGTGAAAGAAACCGAGGCAAGTCGGAGAATTGTTGCATTTCTCATAAATTCGTTGATGCAGCCTCCAAAAACCCTCATCAAATCGCCGTGATTCAAGCTTCAGGCTTGACGGCGAGGAGGATTAGGTCGGAATCAGCTGAACCTTCTGTTTACGACGGAGACAAATGTTTCACGTTCGCCGAGATTTCTTCATCCATTGATTCCCTCACCTCTCGTCTCCGTCTTATCCTCAGTGACGATGATTCTCAAGGTTACCTATATAGGCTCTTTTCAAAATTCTGAAGTTCTCTGAGTATAAAAGCTAATAAAGTTTTAACCTTTTGACATTGCAGAGGCTGGTTCAGATGTTGTATATATGCCAAAGGTAGTGGCTTTATATATGCTACCATCAGTTGAATATATTACCAGTGTGCTCTCTGTTTTGAGGTGTGGAGAAGCTTTTTTACCTTTGGATCCTTCATGGCCAAGAGAAAGGGTTTTGTCTCTTATGTCCTCTTCAAATGTTTCTCTTGTTATTGCTTTAGAGAGATCACATTGGCTTGTGGAAACCAAGGTCTGCCCTGTATTACTGTTTTCAATGGATGAGAAATTGAGTGAGGAAACTGGTTGCTCAAGCTTTGTTTGGCCTTGCAAGAAACAGAGGCAGAGAAAATTTTGTTATATTATGTATACTTCAGGATCTACTGGGAAGCCTAAAGGAGTTTGTGGCACTGAGCAAGGTTAGGATTTGTTTTATTCATACAACTGTTTAAACCTGTTTCAGCTACTTTTGTTATGGAAACAGATCGTTAGGTATGATGATCTTGAAATTCGAAGGTTTTGTTAGTTCGAGAAAGAGATTTGGTTATAGCATTCGACATTTATCAATAGTAGATCACATGTTTGACCTTAAAATGGGTGGCAATAACAAACCTCTTCTTTTTGGGTAGATATACAGCATGTAATGTTAGATTGTTAGTTGTTGTTTTTTGTAAACATTTTAGCTATAACTCTCTGGAATTGCAGAATAACTTTGACCCTCTGCGATATTTGAACATCTTGTTGGAATAGATATATACCATATCTGTAGCTTGTCCAAGGTTGTCCCATAGCTGTTTTCATTTATTTGAATCTTCGCATTTATTGATTATTCTATAATTTATTTTCTATCCATCGTAAGTGACATGGTGTGACCAGTAAATAGCTAATGATAGGTAACCTCTTTTTGTAGCTAATGTAAATGAATTCATCTAACATTTGAAATTCCCGCCCCTTGTTCTCTGTAGGACTTTTAAATCGCTTCGTGTGGATGCAAGAGCTCTATCCTGTTGTTGGAGAGCAGCGATTGGCTTTCAAGACTTCAGTTGGTTTTATTGATCATCTGCAGGAGTTTCTTGGCGCTATTCTTAATTCAACCCCCTTAGTCATCCCTCCATTTACTCTACTAAAAGAGAATATGACATCCATCATTGATTTTTTGGAGGTAAGAGTTAGAGGAAGACTGCTTTATCTTTCATTGTATTACTTTTACTTTCTATTTGAGTAATGGTCGCGAATGTTTATCCATCTTGATAGGTGTATTCTATCAGTAGACTCCTAGCTGTCCCATCGATGATCAGAGCTATTCTTCCTACTTTACAACATCGTGGACACAATAAGCTTCAAAGTAGCTTGAAGCTGGTAGTTTTAAGTGGCGAACCCTTTCCCGTGAGCCTGTGGGATTCACTTCACAGCCTACTTCCTGAAACATGTTTTCTGAATCTATATGGGAGTACAGAGGTGAGAAAAATATGTTTATTATAATTTTCTCTTAGAAAATCTTCTTAAGCTGGTGTAATTAAAAAGTTCGTAACGGTGTCAGCTGGTTGGTACCACCTAGAATTTATGGTTTGAGAGGTGTTGATAATTACTACCTGCGTTTGGTTTGAAAGTTGTTGATACCTTAAGACTTCTTAATTTCACTTATTTGATACTTAGGCATAGTCTGACTTGTTGTAGCTGGTCAGAGTTGTAATTTCACTTCTCTTAACTTATGCAGCAGTTTGTTGAAATTGAAAGTGTATCGATTAGCCTTTTGTTTTGTTTAGGTATCAGGGGACTGCACTTATTTCGACTGCAGTGGGTTGCCAAGACTCTTGAAGACCGAAGAGATTGGTAGTGTTCCTATTGGCAAGCCAATTTCGAATTGCAAAGTGTTACTTTTTGGGGACGAAGATAAACCTTATGAGGGAGAAATATGTGTTGGTGGCCTCTGTATTTCACAAGGGTACATGCATTCCTCGATAGAGTCTCAAGGCTACGCGAAGCTACATAATAATAAATCGCTCTGTAATCATTTAACGAATGATTGTGGAAGCGAGCTTTATTATAGAACGGGTGATTATGGACGACAGCTTTCTAGTGGTGATTTGATTTTTATTGGGAGAAGGGATCGAACTGTTAAACTCAATGGAAAACGCATGGCCCTTGAAGAGATTGAAACAACTCTAGAACTAAATCCAGATGTTGCTGAAGCTGTTGTTCTACTTAGCAGAGATGAGAAGGAGCTTGCTTCACTTAAGGCCTTTTTAGTACTGAACAAGGAAAGCAATTCCGGTGATGGTATCATATTTTCTATCAGAAATTGGATGAGCGAAAAACTTCCTGCGGTGATGATTCCTAACCATTTTCTTTTGGTGGAGTCACTGCCACTTACTGCAAGTGGAAAAGTTAATTATGAAGCACTAGCAAGGTTGAAATGTCCTAAAACCCTTGCTCAAGATATGATGCATAGCAATGGAACTAATAGTCTACTGCAAACTATTAAAAAGGTCAGACTATTTCCATGCTGTTCTTACATACGCGTTTTATTTTCTCCTTATGAGTTATGAGTAAGCCTTTTTGGTATCTGATTGCTTCTTTGTCTCTAAACCATATTAGGAAGTGAAATCTTTGATAATTTTCCTTGGGTAACTTTTGGACGGTTGCTATTATGGGCTGGACATATAGTTCGAACGGGAAATTAGAGTTGTGCAAAGGAATCTGATAATAAAGGTGACGGTTTAGGGGTGTTTAAGGGTATTTTTCTGGCAAGGAAAATAAAAGCAAATGAAATACTTGTTGGGATACTAATATAAAATTTATGGGAAACAGATAAACTTAGAATCTCAGTATTTAGCTGAGTGATTATGCTTATGAAAAAATGTAGAGAACATTCTTTGTTTATTTTTAACCTGCAGAATCTAATTGACTATAGAAGAGGAGTTATATCATTTCCTTAACTTTTGATATAGGCCGTCTGTGATGCATTAGTGGTCAAAGAAGTTTTAGACGATGATGATTTCTTTGCGATTGGTGGAGACTCTTTAGCCGCAGCACATCTTTCTCATAGTCTTGGTATTGATATGAGATTGATTTACCAATTTCGAAGTCCATCTAGGCTTTTGATCTGTCTGTCAGAGAAGGAAGGTAAGTTAAGAGAAGATACGCAACACTGCCAACACAACACCACTCAGAAACTAGACCACAAGACAGAGAGTCAGAATGGTAATGGGTTGGTAAGTAGAACTGTTCCACGTCATTCTGGTGTTACATCAAGCCCAACGCCTTCAGGAATGCAGTGTGAGAAGAATAATTCCCCAAAGCGATTGAAAATTGATTCCGAAATTTTTTCTCCCAAAATGAAAGAAAAGAAATCATGGGATTCAGGATTTTCTCAAACACAATGTGCATTCAGTCGGTGCAATAAGGTATATTCTCCGAACTCATGTAGTAATGAAGAGGCAAACCGAGAAAACTGGTCGGTGGAGATTCCAAGGAACCAAATGGTCTCTATGCAAGAGATATGGAAAGTTCATATGGAGTCTTGTGTAGATGCCTCGCCCCTAGTTGTGTTGAAGGATTCGAAAACTTATCTATTCATTGGGTCTCACTCACGTAAATTTTCGTGCATTGACGCCAAAAGGTATGCATCCTTGTTATTCTGCTGTATCAGATGTTGAAAGGTGTAATTTATTATAATCAAAGAGGTGCCATCATTGTTCTGACTAAATTAGAATCAGATCTAGCATATGAAGTTTTAAGTTTTTATTGAACTACTTGATTTTATTGGATTTGGATCGAAAATGAAATGAGAGGATTGGGTTTATTCTTTTTATAAAATAGGCTGGACTTCTAACAAATGATACACTTACTGTGCTAATTAGTGGCTCTATATATTGGGAGACCACTCTAGAGGGAAGGGTCGAAGGTTCAGCCATGGTTGTTGGTGATTTTAGTCAGGTTAGTCTTCTCATCAGTTTGTATAGATCACTGTATCCTTTCGAATCTACTTGAACAGTTTCAGGGACATCTCCAATGCTAGGTCGTTGTTGGATGCTACAAAGGAAAATTATATTTTTTAGATTTCTCAACTGGAAGCTTATGTTGGACATTCCAAGCATGTGGCGAGGTATTATCTGAAGGAAAATTGATCGATAATAGCTTTGTACTCTGTTTGTCTACCTTATTGCTGCTTTAATATCTGTGTCATATATGCTCATTCCTAGTAATTGTTCTCAGATGGCTAGCTGACTTAAGACAATTTGTTTTCTTTTTGGGATGAAGATAAAGTGCCAACCTGTTGTGGATGCATCTTCGCAACTGATATGGTAATACAGTGATGAATTTTTCTGTTACCGTATCCACTGAAGTCATTGTACTGAGTTTAAGAGGAGTGGTTCTGTGATCATAATGTTTGTGCCACATGTGAAATCCCTTTCCAATCTTGCTTTCGTCTGAGTGGACCTTACATTTATACTTTCATACCAATGGTTGATTATATGGTTTTTGTTTTTCATAGATAATACGTTGAAAAATTGTTATGACAACCAATTTGAACTGGGTCTGTGAAGGGTTTTCACCTTAGTTAAAATACATAGCAACTGACAAAGAAGTTTGAAGAGAAATATACGAGCAGTGACTTAAGTAAAAGAAGCATACTCTTTTAGCTCCCTGTGTGTTTACTTAAGTTCCTTTTGATTCTGTAGACAAGATTTTGCCTAAAGTTCTTGTAAAGTCACCAATCATTAAGCTTAATTTTGCATCACTCATGCAGGTGCGGATCACATGACCACACTCTTTATGCCCTTGACTATAGGAGTCAACGTTGTGTTTATAAGCTGCAATGTGGTGGGAGCATATTTGCTTCACCTTTAATTGATGAGGTGCAGACTTTAACTACTCTATCCAACATGTTAGGCATAGTTGCTTGTCCACAGCTAAAACAATGTCATCTGTGGTCAAAGATTTTCTTGATATCACCTGATTCATCTTTGATGCTTCACCCAGGGTCATAGTTTACTATATGTGGCTTCTACAAGTGGTCGCGTGATAGCTGTATCAATAGAGGTATGGGCCTTTTGATATATACTCTTAACACCCTATGCGTTGTCGCTTGTACATACTTTGTATTCTGTTTTTTGCCTCATTTTTTGCATTCCAGTTGCCTGTATGAATAGTCCAGGTCAGATATAGAAAGTAATCTTTTCTGCTCAACAAAAATTAAGCAGAATAGTCCTTGGAAGTAATGGTTCACTACCAAATATTTGGGCCAAAATTGAGTCCTGTATCTGTATGGTCTCCCTTACCCTATAGATATCTTTAGCTTAACTGATCAGCATTACATTTTACTTGGCTCCAGAGGGAGATTTGTTGCTACAGATAAATAATAATGGGGATGGAGCCTTGTTTATTTGGGTTTAATTTTGCAAATGCAGGATTTGCCATTCCACACCTTGTGGCTACTTGATCTAGAAGCACCGATTTTTGGTTCCCTATGCATTACCCCGACAAGCCGAAGCGGTATTTTCTTCCTCTTTTACTGTTGTCTTTCTGTTTCCTTGATTTCACTATCATTGTTAATCTCTATCTTATGTCACAGTCATTTGCTGCCTAGTTGATGGCCAAGTTATCGCAATGAGTACGTCTGGAACTATTATTTGGAGGGTATGTGCATGAGTTGATCCCAGTTCATTTGAATGATATCATAAAAGTTCATATGGCGTTTCCTGATTTTTATGTTATCTAGGAGTTACTGAATAATGATAGGCAATTATCTAGTCAAAAGGGCTTCCACCATCTTTTGTTCCTGTCACTTTGTTTTGTCCATCTCAGAGTGCTCAAATTAGTCAGTTATTACATTGATGCAGTATAGCACTGGTGGACCAATATTTGCTGGGCCTTGCATGTCACATGTGCTTCCTTCTCAGGTGCCCTTGATTCCTGAATATATCTGCAATATATCCTTTTTGTGTAGGGATATCTCACTAAGGCTGACTACACGTCTATTTTTCTGCAGGTGCTTGTGTGCTGTAGAAATGGAAGTGTTTATTCACTAGAACCGGTACTTTCTTCTTGTATATAGTTTATTTATTGCTGTCTACTGTTATTTATTTTGTGCGAGAGGCTTTTGTTTTTCAAGCACTGAAACCTGATGTGCGATAGACTTAATTCTAAGTAGACTTATTTCCAAGCAAGTACAACTTTATCATGTCTGTGCATATTCTAAATTCATAGAGCTTCTTATGCATCTTCTAGGGAGTCCTTCTGAAAGACATCAGTTTAATAAGATTTCCGAGTTCATTGGCATATTGATTTCCGAGTTTATATTAGAAGGAATATACTCTCTTGAAATTAACAGCTTGTGGATGCACTAAAGAGATACTTGAATCTGTAGCAAAATCAGTGGAATCAAATCTGCTCCAAGGAAGTCAGTTTTAGTTTTGCGTGAAATGAGTTTTAGGTCTGCAAGGACATTGATAGGGACGTTCATGAGGATCAGTTGTTGTGGCACTAGTATCATAAGTCATGACTGTTTTGTGGAATTCACTTCAGGAATCTGGGTGTCTTGTGTGGGAATACAATATTGGGGACCCGATCACAGCATCTGCATACATCGATGAGAATCTGCATTTTGAATCGCATCAACTGCTTGCATCAGACAGGTATTAATTACAAGAATACACACAAATGAATTTATTTAATTATCATGGATGTATGATGATACCTCCTCATTGCGTTTCCATGTATTTTCCAGGTTGGTGACTGTATGCTCGAGCTCGGGAAGAGTTCATGTCCTTCGTGTGAGAACCAACCACAGCAGATATTCACATGACTCAAAAGTAGGAGAAATCGCGAGGCTAGAGTTGCAGGCAGACATTTTCTCTTCACCAGTGATGATCGGTGGCCGGATATTTGTTGGCTGTCGTGACGACTATGTGCATTGCCTCTCTCTTGAGAGTTGCAGGTAGGAGAAGTTATAACTCCTGAAAGGAATTTTTTCAATTGCTGTATATATCAAAATCATGAAACTTTTTTCGTTTGATTGGAAAACAATTCTATGTAAAGAAATGAGTTTTTTTTTTTGTTTAATATTGTAAATCTCGTGGAGTTACTTTAGGATAAAAGATGTGTGTACATTGCACCTTGCCTTCCTTCTCTTTTATATCCTACAAAGTTACCATCAGCATCAAAGTATCATTCTTCTTTCTCTCTGTCCAGATGAAACGCTTCGATTTGGATCCAATCTTCTGTGCGGTTCTCATCATTCTACAATGAGATAATCGCATCAGCATGGTACGTTTTCCAAACACAAAACCGATCATTTGCTTGCATGAAGTCACCAAACAAAAAAGGATTGTAGAAATAGTACATCATGTCTCCTAAGCCGCATCAATATTGGCATCTTCGATAAAGAGATTAGTAGTATTTTGAATGCGAATCTGTGCACGTTCCACAGCAGTAGTACGGCCAAATCGATGTGGTTATCCTTCCAATAGCTCAAAACCTGTTTAATTTGGAAAAGACTTCCTCTCTAGGCTTGGCTCCTCCAAACGTGTCTCTGTGTCTCTAGTAGATATAAAAGGTGGAGTTAAATGCAAAACATGATCTATCCTTTTCTCAATCCAAGCGAATCTTCTCTCAAAGCTCAACACACCTCTATGCATATTCCTCGCATCAATCTCAGCGACCTTAGCGCAAACCCTTAAAAGAAGGTAGTAATCCGCGTGAGCCGCATATATCAAAGCTCCATCACCTTTTTTCCTCACATATTGAAGATAGTGTAGTCTCTTTACCTTCACACGAAGCGGTATGTAACAGAACAAATTCTCCCCCGTGTCTGTTATTAGTCTTTTTATCGCACTCTCCTTGGATTTCTCTTCGTGATCATCTGGTAATGAAACACATTCCAAAGATGGCTCATCACAATCCATTGACTCGGTTTCGCTTTTTCTTGAATGAATAACACAAGGATTGTTTCCATCCCTCAACTTGTCATCGTTCAAAAACCATCGGTTAAGTTATATATCATCTTCCCAGTCTCTTCCCCTCTTGGATGAAGTCCCAAACCGTTCAAATTCCTACAAAATTCGCGTAAAAGAGATAGTTTATAAGAACTAGTTTTCAAATATCCCACAGTAGAATTTGAAAATATAAACAAGTTTTACCTCGTCTTTCGGGTAACTACTCCACAGATTATCAACAGTTCTGTATGTGTCATCAGCTGATGCTTCTTCTAAACCAGCAAAGATCTCGTCCTTCCCGTGTAATAAATATGACCAAAGCTCATAACCTCATAATATCTAATTTCAAGATTCTTCAGAAGCTCCTCAGGTGTCATAATCAGTTGTTTTCTTGACATCCCATAACTCTGCATCCGCCTCACTAGCATCAACCAAACCCAAACTCCGTTCCCATACACCAAAATCGTTGATATTTATAAAGCATCCTTACAGCTACAAGAATAATAGACACCAAAATCCTAAGCTCGTTCTTCGATAAACATAAACCCAAAGGCATTGAACAGTTCTGAATTAGACACACCAGTTCAAGAACCTTATCGTTGGGATTAGATAACCGCTTTAGATAGTTTGAAGTTACACCATAAAAATTCACAGGAGGTAAAGGCAAACCAATAATGTCAGCAATCGAAGCGGCTTGAGCTTCTAATCTCTGAGCAGAAACAATCTGAATAGGTCTAAACATTACACTTTCAGTACAGGACAGGAAGCTGATCGCTCTCCCATTTGCTTTCGAATCTTGAGAAAACAAGAAAGATACGGAATCTTTCCTTCTCGCGCCCATCTCACTATATCCGTGGGTAGAACGGGTGATCCCACTAAACAAGCAAGGAAAGATATCGCTAGAGAAGCCGATAAAGGCAGAAACTTCGATCTTAAGCTGAGTTAACCATATCATTACCGCTCTTTTACCATATAAGTTACGAGGTTCTTCGGCTCCTTTATGCCGCTTAATCTCTGGCTCTCTCACTTCTCCTGAACACCAAAATATAGTGAAGAGTTAGGAATAAACCAAAAATATACAAACAATGTAGAAACTTAAGAAGCAAGCAACCATTTGATTGAAGCTCGGGGTCTTGAATGGCTTTATCAGCCCAACCATCATCAAAGACGCGAGAGAGAGACACGAACCGTAAGCAGATAGGTCCGACCAAACCAATATATCAAAGGCGTGACATTGAATTTCTCAACCAATGCATCGCACTGATAAGTTCCTATGACGTATCGATCTCTTGTCTCTTTGTAATAATCCTCGTAACTCTGATTGATTGAAATATCCAAACCGACTTCGACCACCCCGAAGTAAGACCAATCCCAATCTCAGACTCAATCAACCAATTTACTCGGATTTAATTTATCTGGTTCAATTGGTTTCCTTAACCATTATAATAGTTTACTTGGGATTGGGCTTTTATTAACCAACCCTTTCAAGAAGACGGCACCGTTTCAACAAGGATCCAAATGGCCTAGTAAAAGCCCATCAAAGAGGCCCAGGTTCAGGACAAATCTGTAAAATCGTTCGTATTCACTACTCAGACAATTTTTGCGCAGTTCCTCAATCGAAACTGATCTGTGTCATGTACCAACTTTATTCTTCTTCCTCCGACTTGGCTCAGTAATTTCGAGACTGATTTGCTTTTGATTTTCTTGCCAGCTTCAAAGAGTCAAGTCAACATGTCAGGGTAATTAAGCTTCTCTTGCGATTCATCTATTTTGGATTCTCACTACATTCTTTAATACACTGAATCTGTCATCAACAGAGTTTGATACATTATTAGGGTGTGAAGTAAAAGTTTTAGTCTTTAAACTTTTTAGTTGGTTATTATTGATTCATGAAATTGGATAGTGTTTAGTATTATGCTTGGCAAATCTTAATGCTTATTATTGTTGATGATGTAATGTGAGTATAATTCAAGAATTGGAATTGTTGTTGATCAGTACAGTCTTGAGCATTTAGAGGATCCTTTTTACGGAAGTTCTGACGAAGAATATAGTGAAGCTCGCGTGTTGGACAATGAGAATAAGTTGAGACGTGTTAAATTCCACTCGGTATTCATCTTTCATTACTTAATGATTCTCTCTTCTCTCTGTGTAAAATGCCTTTCAGTTTTGATCATTTTTTCTCTATATGTCTGGTTAATATCGAATTCCCAGGCTGGATACCGTGATGGGATTGTTGCCGGGAAAGAAGCTATTGCGCAGCAAGGTTATAACTTTGGCTATAAGCAATCAGTTCTTGATGCCTACAAGTTTGGTATTGTTAGAGGTGTTTCTAGGTATGATTACGAAATTACGAAATGGGTTGCTGCTATACATCCCATGAAGCTAGCTTAGCGAGTAGTAGTACTTTATACGGATTCTGTTTTTTTTTTTGAAGTGCACTGGCTTTCCTCCCGAATGAGCTAAGAGAAAAGCTGATCGATGAACAAGAAACTAGAGACAAGTTTCAGAAATTACACAGTTGTGTGCATGCTCTATCAACGGAAGTAGCAATGAAGCGGTTCTATGAAACTTTGACTACAAAGCAAGGGGAAGACAAGAATGGAGATCAAGGGTCTGACTCTGGTTCTTGTTCGGGTGTTAATGCCGATACAACCAACTTGGGAAGCTATGTTACTGACCTAAGCTCTCTTCTTGACAAATCTCCTATGATTGAAATTAAATTGGACTCATAGAGGAGGCTTGTTCTCTAAATTTTTGTCAAGATTAGTAGTATTCTGTTTGGTTCGGTTTGGTTTAGTCTAGTAAAAATTGCATGCCTTAATATGAATTATAGAAAACCTGGTATCGTTTTATAAAGTAGAGATAAAAAATGGTCGGAGAGAAGAGAAAAGCAGGTCGAATTTGTAACTTTGATACACAGCTCACTGGGAATCTCTCAGTGTTTTCTTTCCCATTTCCCTTCACGCCTACCACTTTCACTTCTTTCTCTTCTTTCAATCACCTGTCTCGATTTGCTTCCTCCTCTTGACCCGCTTAGTCGCTGACCAGACTGCCCTTCAAAACCAGAGCCCATCTCCAGCTCCCCGACACTTCCTGTATCTCCCGAGTCTCTGCTTCCTTCAAGTGTTTCGTCATACTCTTCTAAGCGGTCATGTGATTGAAGGATTGTTGGAGGCTGGCCAGAGAATGACCTTGACCCAGGCAGAACCATTGTTGGCGTATTCACAGTTTCTTGCCCTCTCGTGCTTCCTTCACTTCCCGACCGCCCATTATCTCTTTCTCGAACCCTTTCCCTAGGTCTACTGCAGGGGAGGCGAAACATGTTAGAGTTTGTTGAGTTCAGTGCACAAGTGACTCAAGTCATGGGTTTAAGAAGTAACGCAGTCTCTAGGTATGGCCATCAAATGTGTTAAGAACATAAATTAAACTGAAAGGGAAAGATCAGTCAAATACCCAGATTTCATTGCACCCCAAAACTTTCTACAATGTATCATTGAACTGTGAAGGTAATCATGTGTTGGCTAACATAATTGCAAGAAGCAGCGCTAAGCAACTCCAGTGGAATTCTAACACTAACACATACAGAGCAACCTCAACATTTTACCAAACACGCCATTATTAACTGTAGCTAACCATCAGAGAACAGTTGTTTTTCAACTCCATCTGTAGAGTAACCGCTACATTTTAAGCTTCCTCACTAGAATTATAATACATGTGGCTACTAACCCACTGGTTTTTTAAAATATATATTTTAGCAGAATATATATTTTTATCTCAGTTTCTCAAGCCCATATAGAGCATACGACTGTCCAGCCAAATGCTCAAATTTTTCATGGTCATTCATTGAATAAAAACTGAAATTTTTGTTAACATACAAACATGAAGAACATGCATGAGATATAGAAGAAGTTAGAGAAGCTTACCCACTGTGGGAAGCAGACGAGTCTCGCCGTGATGATCTTAATCCTGACTCTGCCTGCTCCAATTCACGTTGAAGCTCTCTCTGGATATAAAGCAGAGCATTATATTACGAGCTAAACCAATGTGACTGGTATTTTGACTCATCTAAAGCATAAAATGAGCATGTTTTCTAGAAACCGTGAACCATAGAAACATTTTCAGTGTAATTCTATTCTGATTTTATAATTTGTGCATCTACGTATGGTATAGAAGCTGGGTGATGAAAAAAACAATTCAATAATACATAATGCGATCATGCATAGAACAAGGTGGAAGCGAAATAGAGATTTTTGCCTGCATTTGCCTCTCCTTCTCCATCTCCAGTTGGTGTCGCAGATCCCTTGTTTTGGCTCTTTCGAGTTCTAGAGCCTGTTGTCTCTCTATCTCCTTTTCTGCTTCAGCTGCCCTCTCCCTGATTAATAATGGCCAAAGATCAAGTTATCGTTACTAGCCAAAAAGATATAAAATCAGTTTATCATATAGCTACAATAAGAACCAGAACAAACCTGTCCAATTCTTGAAGGAGTTCAGCTTCTCGTAAAGCTGTTTCTTCTAAATACTTCTGTCGGTCACGCCACATAAGAATTTTCTTTTGCCTGCGGGCAACTAAGTCTTCTCGAAGTTTTGCCTTTTCCCTGATAATATGCAGAATTAACAAGATGATGAGCATATAAAACTTGTATCTACAAGAACGCTCATCAATGCATACACAACAAATTTTGAAGCCTCAGCTCACAAAATTTGAGCTATTCTACTGCCGTATGCTCCTACATGCTGGCAATGACCAGTATAATTAAAAGATCACACTAGCAGTAATTTGCTTAATAATTTTTCTTATATCCTTGCAGTAGCTCCTTTTAGAGCTTTAAATCAACAGAGCATGGAAAAATAGAAATTCATGCTACAAATCTCTGGAGCTTACTAAAAGCTTAATCTATTTAGAATTTTAGTGAGACATACAGTGCATATATGTCGTCCTTGATCTGCTGAAGGCGATTATCATGCTTTCTCGAGGCTGAGAAACAGAATTGTGCATCAATTAGATCTGTTTAGAAGTGGTCACTGTATGATGGACATGAAAAGAGAGAAGCTATTACATGTAACGTGAGGAAGTTGATGGTTTTCTTTGGAACCCAATATATCCGGTACATTTTGCTCTTTCCTTACGATATCCAATTCCATCTCAGCCTCCTCTAGTTCCTAATGTTTTGAAAACAAAATATCAAATCAGTGAATACAGTCATCAAAAGAGTATTAAAGGAGACATGCATACTCACAATAGTCTCCTCATCAACTTTCTTTGCAAGAAGCTCAAAGTATGACTCAACAGAAGATAGACTAGAGAGCACCTGTCATATCAAATATAAAACTTAGAAACACATTAGTATGCCTATAGCAAATTTGAGATCTTGGTGAACTTATTAAGAAGAAAAGGTTGAAGAATAGACCCATAACACATTTAAGAAATCTAATACCAAGACCCTAACTCTTTCTTTGACCTGTGTTATGGCGCCTGTAGTATTTATCCCTTATATGTCATACTAAATACTAAAATGAAAAGCAGATATATGTGATTTGTAAATGCTTTACAACCAAAATTTGTAACAGTACGAAAGAATATCCTACTACAAAGAACATCAGAGGATTATTGCCAAATGCTCGTTGAGGAGATAATCATTACGCATTCGTTAATTACAATATATCTTTACATATCTGTTAGTTAACTACAAGATCTTACTTGAACAGAAGGATAATGCGACTCCATGGAAACATTATGCTATACTCTTTTACATAAAGAAGTCCTAAAAACTGATTTTTCAGCTTCAGATATTCATAAACATACTTTCTAAGCTAAACTGATCATAACCACTTAAACAAAACACCAAGGCTAAATGAGCGAGCTATTTAGATAACATTACAGATTGTACGTGCAGACTATTACTAGCATTACAAACCTCAAGAATTGATTGACGTGTAGACCCAAAATCCAGATTGTCTTCAACTTCAAAACTAGAAGAAACCACCTCTCTGAGAACCTATGGCACAAAAACACAAAAACAGTTTGCTTGACGGAGCAGGTTCTGCAAGAAAAGTTATTTACAGAAATTGGCCCACGCCTATGTTTATTCTTCACAAACATGAACTCGTACCTCTCTTGCTTCATCTTCTCCATTTCTAAATCTGCACAATAGTTGGCAAGCTTTTGTTTCAACTAGCTCCAATCTGCCATCTGCTCAAGAACCAGAAAAGAAAAGTAAACCTTTTTAAGAAAATTCACATCAGGAACGCAGCACGGTGAGAATGAAAAGGTTGACTTACCGGTTCTTGAGGAACCTAGAATCTCGATGCTTTTCCAAACACTTTGATGAATCAATGCCAAATCTTCACTTGAACAATAAAGACAACAGCTAGCAATAATTGCTAGCGAGAGCCTCAGCAGTGGTCCTTCCCCCAATGATCCCCCAGCCTTTCCAAAACAATGGAGGACACTATCAGATGCACACAGAAATGTTTGCAGTAGTTTTCGGCTAGCATAAGGGATAAAATCTACTAGGAGTGCCATAGCACAAGTCTGTATTGTGATTGATGTATCTGACGATGCCCTCAAAACAACAGAATCCCATGTACCCCCAACCAAAAGTGACAATGTTGGCTGTGGTACAGAACTAACAATTCCGAGAGGTTTATGGCAGAGTATCGAGGACTTTACAGCTACTTCATCATCCATATCTTTTCCGAGCAGCTTACATAAATGCCGGAGGCCTATCAGTCGCTGCTCAGGTTCAGCATGATCCAACATGGCACAAAACAAATCAGCTAAAGGTGAAACATCACTCTCACAGAGTCCATGTGCGACCCTTTCAAACAACAATGACAGCCACTCATCAGATTGGACACGCAATAAAAGCTTGGGAGCAGAATATATATTCTTTCTTATGGCAGAGCATATATAATTAGTGAGGTTGTCAAGCTGGAAACATGGAGGAGACCCAAGCAAGCAGTCAAGGATAGTCGATGAAACTTCCCAGCAGTGGTTCTCTTGCAGAATAAGAATCCTTTCAGCAAGTCCTTCCAGACTTCTTTTACAATGGTCTAAAAACCTGTCGGAATCAAGGTTTTCATTATTGTCCTCTTCACAATTCTGAGATACAGCAGAAGCTGAAGCCAAGCACCTCAAGTACACAAAGCATTCTGCTGAGATATTAGTGAGCTTCTTAGACAGTTGACAGTGAAGACTCCAACATTTTTCAATTGTCACTTGGAGACAGACAATTAAATCCTCCAAGTCCTTGGTAAACCCTTCGACCTCACTTGAGAGTAGTTTAACGTTTTGGGTTGAAACAAAAGCATTATCTTTGTTGATATATTGACTACCGGAAACATTGGATGAATTCAGTATGATTTCCTTAAGAAACAATGTTCTTTTGAGAGGGTTCTTGTTACAGACTGTTTGAGGACCGGAAATACCTGGAAACCGAATGGAGAAACAACCAAATGCCTGTAAACTCTGCATTAAGAAAAGTTTGCAACTGTCTAAGACGGCCTGAAAAGCACAGAGATAATCATGGAAGGAAGATGTTGGCTCAAAGTCAGGAAAGTGAGTCCACTGCATTAAAGACTGCAAGAAGGCCCGTTTTCTTTGGAAAGTTAGATCTGGTAAAACAGAAGCTAGAACAAATATAGTCCGAGACATGGTGGATGTTTTCCCCATGCAAGTATTTTGACTCTCATCCCTCTGTCTGATACATTTGAAAAGCTCCTCAAAGCACAATGTTTCAAAATCAAGACAAGTCTCATCAGCAGTTACTTTTTCCACAGATGACGCTTTTTGCAATGCATGTGTAATAATCGGTCTCAGCACAAGTAACATAGAGTTGAGAAACGAAACATCACAATATGAGACCTTGCAAAGTGATACTAACACTTGAACCACTCGAGGTATTTCCAGAACCATAGCTTCCATGTGTGCTTTCACAATGCTTTCCAATATATAGAGTATTACTGCTTTGGTGTTTCTCCCAACATAACCTTTGAAAAAATCAGAATTCATCTTGCCAACTTCCCCTTTGTCAGAAAAAGGCCATGAACACAAATCAGAAAACCAGCACAAGATGTCAGGCAATGCCGCGGAAGAAAGCAATCTCAGTTGCAAACTGACAGCTTCTAAAATGACTTCTCCAAAGACTTGGAATTGTTTCTTCATCTGCGGAAAAAACATACCAAGATACGGGTATATGACATGAAAATCACTATGTTCAGAAGCTTCCCCAGCTGACTCTTTTTGACAGGCAAATTCTGTGTTCATATTACCAGTTTCTGGATCAATATATTTATGTACTACAGCGAGCTCATCAGCGAAAATTGATAATAAGCCAGTTAACTCGGACAGATCAGACACAAGGTAAATTCTATCACTAATGAACTGTTTCGCAATACGAGATACTGCCATCCAGCCCACAAAACGAACAACGGCCGAGCTAGAGTGGGAAAGTGGTGTTATTTTCTGCACCCAAGTTATGGATGGAATAAAACTTTGACGCATAAAACAATCCTCAACTTTTTCTGTAGAATCAAAGTCGCCAGCACTTCCACTAGAAGCAATTACCAATTTCTGCAGTAGCAGCCAGCGGCGTTGAATCACAACACCTTTTTCTGGTCTTAACCGATAATTCTCTTCCCTGAGATGATGATGAATAGATGTTAACATCACACTGAGGTAATCAGCTGATTGTATGATGATATGAATCACATCTTCAGGTGGACAGAATAGCTTGGTAGCTGAACGCAGGAGAAACACCAAGCAATGCATAAGAGTCTCATGATGAGAATGCTGATCCTTCATGAGTCGCTGAACAAGAAAATTACATATCAGAGCCTGGTTTTGCCGAACCAGAGTGATCGCATCCAGAGATATCATATCACTGGGAGATAGATCAATAACAGTTTCATCACACACTTCGGCAGAGCTGTGCATTTCTTTGGTCGACAGCTCCAACTTGAACTTTCTGTCTAACTTTGCAGCCTCAAGCAGAATTTGAAAAACGATTACATCTCTTTGTCTTTCAAGCTTAGCAATTGTTTCAATGCTGACATGTTTCTTCTCTGCACCACTCCTTGGCTTAAGCTCTTTCTGGTTTCGAGCTTTGGTTATCTCAAACTCCTTTACCAAATTTGAACCGTCCCCAACGGATTTCAGGAAAAAAGGATTCACATAGCACTCTGCGGCAGATAGCAAAGCATCGACTGCAGCATCATGACCTTCGCTAGAAATGGAATCGTGCGCTTGTAACTCATGGGCCAAACGTTTGAACTCAGAAGCCTTGATCTCACAATCTTGAATGTTCTCAAGTTGAAAAGAGTCAGCTTGCAGGTTGAAGAACTTGGTACCAAGATCAGAATCCAACACCAACCCACTTGGCGATAAGAGGGTAAATTTTTCGTCATCATCTTTCTTTTCAGCCATTACATCTCTGACAGCTTTGTTGCAACTTAAATTAGTGTTTGTCAATGACAAACTACGAAGTTCTTGAGGAGCAAAATAGAGTCTTACATCGTCATAAACATCAACCTTGATTGTCGAATCAGAAACATCTGCTCTACTGTCAGTGTCAACTTGCTTAGGAGATTTTTTAAGTCCTACTTGACAGGGAACATTTGATGTAGAGGATGGATCAAACTCTATACTTTTGCTGGCAGGCTTGCAAAGATCAATTCCAGTTGGTAAATCTAACTGAGGATCAAGTATGGAGAGGAGGACACTGCAAAGTGTACCATATAACCATTAGGAATCTGATATATAAAAAGTAGCCTAGCTCTTACCACCAAAAGCTTGACTGACCATTTACTAGTACCAGAATATGCTCTACTGCATAGCCGAATAACAAACAGAGAAATCATGAAAAAAACAAGTGAACTGCTTAAAAGAAAATTTCATAAGTACTAGATTATAGCATTTGATTTTAAACTGTCATCTCTGCCTATCATCAAATCAAAGAGACGTAATATGTACTTTTTCCATTTTTAACACAGGTTATGCAAGGCCTCTTCAAACTTCCACAAATAATCACCACAGAAAGAAAAAACTCCACTAATTTAGAAAGGAAATGTAGAGAAAGAAAAAGAAGAATGAAGTGGCAGTCCTACAAACAAAGGTTCAGCTCGTAAGAAACAAGGCGCTGGGACAGTTTGGAAATACTGATATGGATATCATCTTTAACATAGTCCAATTGTCTCCAAAAAAATTTATATGTGTTATTGGTTTCCTGCTAGCTTAGGGAAGAGGAATATTTGGTAACCTACAAGGAAGTGCCAAGTCTGATGCAAGTCATACCTAGGACTAACTGAACCATGTCGCCATTCCGTTTCAAGGGAAGGAAGAACGGCTGGCTTTTCCACTGCAATACGGATAATATCGAGGGCAATAGCGCAATTCTCCTCCTCTTTCTTAGTAAATGTGGTGTCACCAAATATTATTCCACCCTTAACTGGACACATAGCAGGAACCAGAAATGGCTCCAACATCTCCAAGAGGAAAAGAATTTTGTGCTTAACTTCCTGAAAAGTGTAGGACAGTGAGACTAAGATGAATATAATATAAAACCTCACTACAGAAGAAAAAGGACTACATAAAATAACTATATTGCATGTTTTAGTCCTGATGAGTTCTTGCTAGTTTCCTCTTTTCCAAATTTTCGAAACGGGAACAAGGAGTTGAAGCAAAAATAAGATAATTTGCAAGGTTAATACTTAAATAGGTGCACTACCTTGTACTTCCCTAAAATATTGTCCATGTGACCAGCCAGAGCAAGAACAATGTATTTGATTGCAGCATGAGCAGAAGCCATTGATTGGCTAGCACCCTGAAAAAGTGCCAGTAACGTCATATTCTAACCATTAGATGGAAAAAGTTAGAGCAGAACTGAGATACATGGAAAGTTAGTATATAAACCTGAAGTGTGCCCAAAAGATCTTCTAAAAGCTCTATACTTAGATCAACCTGTGAAACAGAAGAAATTTAAGTCTGAGAACATATTAAGATATCTACATACACCATGAAAACAATGAATAAGAACATATACATGGACTGTAATTTAAAGTGCTGCATCTGAACCTTTGCAATCACTTGCGCTGTCCAAGAAGCTAAAATGGAAGAACAAAGATCGATTAGAAGGCATGCCGCCTTAGCCTGCATAAGATTATCAACACTTCATGGATTACACATTTCAAAAGACTACTTTCACAGTTTCACCAGATTGTTTGCAATTCAACAGAAGTATATCAGTCATGTTCAAGGCCTAGCCTATGTGATATTCATAAGAAGCTTGCCTGCTAAGAAGATTTTCTAGATATTTACTACCTTGCGGAAACCAGTGAAAAACAAACTTATCTTAAACGTTGACAAAACGATTCGAAAACTTTCAGAGGTTGCATTAAAACATTAGAATACGTGCATCTACACCCAATCTACAGTAAACATACTTCAATGCTACCGCGGCGTGTCACCATGAAGTAAATGCTAGACAAAAATACAGTGATAAGGAAGCTTTTTTACAGGTTTCAGAAACAGGACAGTACTAAATATATAGTAAAATAAAAATCTGTATGTAGGAGACTAAATGAACTGACATGAGATTGCGAAAAAGATGACAGATAACCAGCACAAGCCTTAAGTAGCGGATGGTATGATGGTGAAGATGACATCAGAACTATCTGTAACCAAAACGATGTAAATAATCAGAATGAAATCTGGACGGAATTTATAATCAGTCAGGATTAAAAAATAAATAGCAACACCAAAATCATAAGGCAACCTGTGATAAAGCCTGCTGAACAGAAGCTTGCCCCCATAATGAAAAATCACTTATGTGATCACATGAGCTGCTTCCGTATGGACGAAGTGCTTATCACACAAGAAAAAAAGGAAAGCCGGTAAGATAAAACGAAACGTGTCTAAAACGGTGATGCTTAGTAAAACTGGAGCAATAAGACTTGATGCACTCAAGAGTGGTAGATCTCTTGGAGGCCTCCTATTCGAGCCGCACTCCTGAGTATTGGGGTATTCATATCGTACCTTCAGCACAGATATTAAATATCTTCAAGGAAAAACGATAGATAATCAGGCCATTACCTGGCAATAAGGCTTGCACAAGCGGTAGGGCAAAGCAGAGGTTTGAGGGGTTCTCAGATAATCTACGGCAGAGTGCAGGCTACAAAAAAAATTAACAACGTTAACTCCTTAAAGCAGATGCTATAGGAGTCAGAGATAGAGAACATAATTAACCTGTGCAGCACAAGAAAAGAGAATGTGCAGAATTCCTTCCTCCACCGCAGACGTGTCTAAAATATTGATATTGATGATGCAACAGTTAAATTCAGAGGCAAGCAAGCTACTCTTCTCTCCAAACAAACTTGAATAATCGGTTTGGTCTTTGTTAGAAAATGGTTCCGATTTTGAGGTTTGCTCGTCCAATTTAGAAGTGCCTCCAGCATCAGATGATTCTTCTTGAGATGTATATTCATTAAGCTTCTCTAGGATTTTGGAACCCTGTATATATAGGGACATATATAAGGTGAGTTTTGGAGACCAAAACATTTTCTGCAGAGACAAATCAAAGTGTAAAGTCCATCACCATTCTACAAACAATTCCCAGATGAGGATCTTTTAACGCCTTTCTCAGAAGCAAAAATATGGCATCTTGCCAAAATGCAGCTGAACTGGATGCAGAGAAAGTGACAGATGAAGGACCACGTGACCTTCTAGGCTGGCATTACATAAAGGAGAGAATAAGAAAAAGCAAATTATTTCTGCAACTTCTTCATATATTCCTAAACAGAAAGCAAGAGTTGAGGTCTTTATTAATGCCATGTGAGCGGTGAAACAACTGAATACAGATGTTAAACATACTACAAAAATTCTACTTAGTCTACCACAAGCCTATTTATATTGACTTAAACTGACAAAAAAAAACAAAAAAAAAGCGCTGATGTTAAAAATAAACTTGTTATAAAGCCATATAGGGCATAGATCTTTACGCAAAGATCCATGCTGATTTTTGCTAGGTTTCAGAAACATTGAGAAGGCTAAGCTTGTTTACCATATACAAATGTACCAAGAATAAAAGAGAGAGAATTGGAACTGCCTGTAAAACATAGTAAGAATCTGTACCTCAAAGTTAGAAGAGACGGTAACAACACTGGTGCTCGAAGTTCTTGCAATTTCTCTGGATAGTTAAAAGAAAAGATGTGACTATCACCCAATATTGGGAAGTCTTAAGATAAAGTTAACTAAATAAAAAAAGTTGACACTTCAATCCAAGGACATACTTCAAATGCTCCTAGCAAGTTTTTCAAGTTTGAGAAGGGCAACTAACAAAACAAGTTGGAATTTCCACACAAGGAGAGAAAGTTCAAGGTACATTATCTTCTATCAGTTTTAATAGAAGGAAAACATGATTACCATGCCTGAATGATTAAGGAAAGGCATTCCCAATGAAAGTAGCTAGAGGAAAAAGAAAAGATAGACCTTTCATTTAGAAGTCTTACACTCAGTGGTATCATCCCTATACCATGGATATACATTTTCACAAACATAAGAAAACTCAAGTGTAGTAGACACACAAACCTCTCGCTTAGAAACTGGAGTATTGGGAAAAAGGGGCCGTTAAGCATGGCAAGGAAATGAAGATTAAAGTCAACGTCATCTTGAAAGCTGGAAAGGTCTGCCTGAGAACAAACAGAATCGTAGGCAGAGATAAGAAAAGCATTCTCGTCTTCGAAGCCAGCAGAAAGTGAAACGTTGTCTTAGTCAATAAAAGATTCTAGTTACCTCAAGTTGGGGAAGGAAGGTATGCAACCGCCTTGTCATGTCTTGAAGAAACTACAAATAGAAAGTGTCAAACGAACCATGCATATAATTGCACAATCTACAGTATACAAAAGAAAATGTTACATGAAAGAACGTTGAGAACCTTAAGATACATATCATGAGCATCTAGCTTATGCAAGAGAATATGTGGAAGCAGATGATCGACAACAGGCTGAAATTCTGGTTCCAGACCTGGAACTGATATCCCGATAAGCTACACACGAGTGAACAAGATATGAATTTTAGGAAAAAAAAACAGAATAAACTAACAATTTGGCATTACAGGTAACCAAAAACGCTAAATGGAAAAGCCTAAAAACATGATTAGAGTGGCATTTATTCCATTAAACTTTCACTAAGGAAAAGAACAACAACAAAACTTGACCTGCAAAAGGCCAAGAGAAGAATTCTAGGTCAGCCTCCAAAGCAATTAAATAATTTTCCATGTTGAAATATTTATGGTCAGCTTCATTTAAATTAAAGTTCTTCATGTCTAGATATTATGCCAAGGTTTTAAATCAATAAAGACTATTTTATCATAACATGAGAAGCAATTTATATAAATTGGTCTCTATGTCAAGAACTGTTTATAAGCGCTCTACTACAACGCATCCAAGAAAAAATAATGTTAAACTACAAATCTTTAGCAGCCTGTAACAACCTATTGTTTTTGTTCCCGCTTAGGATTTTTAACATCCTTCTATGTGATGTCCATCAAATATACCTCCAAATCCTAAAACTTACTTGGATGAAAAATATGGCTATCGGATTGCCCCGTAAGCAAGAAATTCGAACGTAACGACACGGAGTGTAGTTCACTGGATAAACCATATCGCGTCGAGGTGCTTCACAGCGAGGGCGGACTTTCACAAATGCTTCTGGCTGATAAAGAGAAGCCATCACTACAGCGTACAAGACGTTTGAGCAAATATTAAAAAAAAAAAAAATTCTTTATGGATGTAGATAATAGAACTAAATAAAAATTTGCTAGAATAAAAAACCATGAAAGACGAATTTAAATTAGCAAATAAAATATTTCTATGGGTAAATGTGCTTCAATCTACAGAAATTATGAAAAACCTAATTACACTTAGATTATGTAGTAAGAATAGAAGGATAAGCATGTTGCAATTTCTACAAATGGATAAGAAGCAATGAAGACATATCAAATCATCAGCAGATCATCGACAACTATCATTATCAGGAATCCAACCTTGTATTGTAAACCAACTGATATTTCCCATTCAAGAACAGACTTATTGTATATCCTTACACGTGATAACAAACTTGGTTCCTGCAAACAGAAAAAAAAAGAAAGAAGTAGTAGCTAATTATTTTAATGTGCTAGGAATACATGCAGACCCGTATAGCAAGAGAAAATAGCAGGAGCACCAAACAACTTATGTAATATCGATGATAGGTTTCAGGAATTTATATAGAAACTAGACTGCTATCTACTAATATAAAACAAGGCTAATAGCAGAAACAGCCACGAAAAAAGCCACGGCTTCTTTAGCTTTGTTTTTGGGATACTCTATCACTCATCTATTTTTAACTGTTATCTAAGAGAAAAAATCTAATCAAATTACACAGTCTGAACAAAATAAACAACCAAATTTTTACATGCTCTCATGCTCTCTGTCTAGTCGAAAACAAAGAGTAAGGACATTGAAAAGTTGATTCTGAAAGATGGCAACAAGATGCCAACAAGGTTAAGCCTTGCTTTCACCAGAATTAAAGTTCGTTGCTATATCTCTTTACTAACACAGAAACCAGTACTACTTGACTTGAACACTACAATCTTTGGTCTTTTTTCCTGTTATAATTTGGCACTCTTCTCTCAATGTGACACTGCTTCAGCTCTACTACAAATTCAGTCAATAATACTATAAATCTGGCTTTCTAGAAGAAACCGAATATCCTAACCGATGTTATACTCTGAGATCCCCAAGACTAAGTCTAAAGGTAGTACCTATAGCAAGAAAACTCAAGAATTCTCAAGCAAATAAACCAAGAGTTCAAAGACGTCTATCAGTCAAAATTTGGATCAGTCCAACACTTAGTCCAAAGAAAGTCAAAGTCTTCGTTCCACAAAGCGAACAAATGCACAGAGAGAGAAGGGGGATTTTGATAATACCGAGAGTTCAAGCAATATCCATTCCTTGGTGTTGGTTCCCGTTGACCAGTGGGAACGAAGATCGGGTTCAAGCACCTGAGCCGCTTTTTGCGAAGATGACTCGCGCGACATCGCTTTGACCTTGAACGGAAGTGGTTTCACTCTCGGCTCAAGCTCCGTCTCCATCAAAATCGCTGGGAATTTAGGTTTTGAGAGATCTTACTCTGATTTCAAATTAAACTGTGTATCCGAGGAAGAGATCCCTTTGTTTCTTCTACTAGTAGAGAGCTCAATGGTGGAACCAAATGCGACTCTTTTTCTTCTTCTTTATTTATCGATTATATACTGTACTAGATATGGATGTAGATAATTAGCAAATAAAATTCTATAAATATATATATTTTAGAAAATATAGCATAATTATTTCTAAATATAGATTTATTAGCATAATGCGCAATATAAAACATTATTTATAGTTATGTTATACTAATTATTAAATCATCTAATATAAATGTTAGCCTATTTATAAAATTATATAATTTTTTGTTTATTATAAGTTATGAAGTTATAAATGTTCATATGTTGTATTATTGAATTTTAATAAGTTATTTACATCCATCGGAAGAGTGTGTTACATCTTATAATTTCAATGTGGGTAAAATGGAAACAAAACTATGACAATAAAAAAGATTAAATTATATAGTCACGTAAACATATGAACGATATATGTATAATATGTAAACATATAGTCTGAGTTACGTAAATATAGATATTTTTTTAGAAAAATTTGACGTCATAATAAAAGTGTGACAATAAAAGAAGAGAAAATATGAGACCGTCTATATCCATGTCATGTAACTTTACTTGATAATATGAAATATCCTCAACGGAAAGAAAAAAAACCTTATAAGGACTTAGAGATATACACTAAATAATTTAAGATTAAAAAAATTAAGAAAAAAATATCAGACTCAATAGTGTAGAAGGGCGTTAGGTATCCCACGAGTGGGCTTAAAAAACTCCTTTTCATCTAGAGGGTTTCAAACCTAGAGAAAAGGACTTGAGTTATCGGAAAAATTTCCTTTCTCGCCGGATTTGCGAAGTTTATTTCTGTTTCTTTCCAAAATCCTGGGCAATCTTTGAAGATTTTTAGAAAGTTCTTAACCTAGTTCATACAAGTAGAAGGCGCCACCGGTGGTTTGTCCAGACTTTACGAAGCTTGTGAACTGCGTTAATCGATTCTTTGAGTTTTGCTATGAAGCTGATCGAATACGATTTGGACAAAGCTTTGCAAGAGATGTCACTTGAAGATGAGAAACCAATTGTACTAAAGAATCTACCTAAGTACAGTTCAGCTGAACGGAATGGTTGTAGTATCATTGGGAAGCTTCTGTGCCCGGAAAATCAGAAGATGACTGATGTAATTCATGAGATGCCTCGTCTATGGCGGGTATACAACAGAGCACGGGGAATTGCTCTACCGGAGGATAAGTTTCAATTTATTTTTGATTCAGAATCGGATATGCTTACAGTTCTGGAGGCTGGAGCGTGGACTTTCAATGATTGGAGTATGACTTTAGAACGTTGGGTGGAGAATCCTCCTGAGGATTATCTGAGAATTCTACCCATTTGGATACGACTTCGTCACATCCCGGTTAACTTTAATACAGTTGAAACGATCCGGAAAATTGCAGAACACATAGGACAAGTAACACATGTTGCTTTTGATCCGCTGAACCACAAAGCAGAGGCTTTGTTCGTGTCCATGTTCTGTTTGATGTTAACAAACCCTTGAAAAATACAAGGAATGTGGAGTTACCTACAGGGGAGGTGGTGGCCATTGGAATTGAGTATGAGAGGATTCGAAAACGATGTTATCAATGCCTTCGTCTCACTCATGATAAAGAGCATTGCCCTCTTAATCCTTCAAACCGGCAAGCCATTGCTACGGGAAGGATTAAACCAGCAAGCATCATACCAAGTAGATTGATTCCAAAGATCAGTAAGGATGATCCCCTCTTTGGTGAAATTGACAATGTTGGAATTGACACAATTTCGGGTAAACCAAAGATAGCAAAGGCAGTTCTTGATGAAATGCGACAATACTTATCTGTTGCGGATCCCCAAAAAGAGAAGATAAGAGTAACAAGAGTCCGTACGTCTGTTTGGGATTTAGAGAATGACCCGCAAGGCCAGAAAACACTGCTGCGTCTTGAGGCTCCTCCTCTTTTCACGACAGATGTAGATACAGGGAAAGGGTTGGTCTTTGATTTTGAGAGAGCTACATCATCCAAGCCTACACAGGAGAGCTCCTCAAATTCTGAAACCACCGCAGGTCACGGAAGGAAATGGCTGGCCAGAGTAACACAGTCATCCTCAGAGGCATATGCAACTGCGTGAGAGCACACAGATGTTCCTACGGTTTTTAAAGCTGGTTTTTCAACTAGTTCAGCTGGGAACAAACCGAAAGCTCCTAAGAAAAGCAACAGGCCCAATCAGTGGAGAAGGAAGGCGCAAGCTTTGCTAAAAGAAGGATCAGCCACTAGTGCTACTATGCATGAGAAGTCGGGAGAAGATGTGGTTCTAATGAAGCGCAAGGCGTCTGAAGAGGTTGTAGTAGAGGAGGTAGTTGTATCTAAAATCGCAAAGCGTGATGACGAAAAGGTGGTTCCGAATGAGGAACTGCCGCATCAAGTATGAGCTTTTTAAGTTGGAACTGTCAAGGATTGGGGGGCACCTTGACAGTTCCTACGCTGAGGGAAATGATGCGTGAACATTTCCCGGATTTCTTGTTCCTCATGGAGACAAAAAAAACTCCAGTAATCACGTGTTGAAAGTACAAAGATGGATGGGATATGATCACTCACATATAGTCGATCCAATTGGCCTAAGTGGTGGGCTAGCGTTATTTTGGAAGAATTCTTATGAAGTTGAGGTGATCAATTCTGATCATAGAATCATTGATGTAAAGGTGAAACTTGGATCACTATCGTTCTATATCTCATGTGTATATGGTGATCCAGCAACTCATTTACGACAAATAGTGTGGGATAAATTAATTGATATTGGAACTACTAGAGATGAACGAATATCCAACCAGAATTCTAAAGAGCAAATTAACCAGCTGAGTCAAAGACTTGAAGAAGAAGGTAGCAAAGCTCAACCAAGTCGTAATCTTTTAAAATCACTCAAATGGGAACTGGCTGAAGCTTATAGAGCATAGGAACTATATTGGAAGCACAAGAGCAGAAAAAGATGGTTAAAGGAAGGAGACAGGAATACAAAATTCTTCCACAAAAGTGTACAAAGGAGAAGGGTACAAAATCGAATACTGTCGCTCTTTGATAATAATGATGTTGAGCAATTTGCGGAAGGATCTAAAGGAGAGATTGCAGTTGAATACTTCCGCAAGATGTTCTCTAGCTCTAAACCGGATTGTATCATAGAAGCTCTTGAAGGAATGAGACCGCGGGGTAACACCAAGTATGAATGTTGAGCTCACTCGGCCAGTGACAGCAGCAGAAATCAAGGCAGCAGCCTTTAGCATAAGAGGCGAGAGCACACCCGGAACGGATGGGATGTCTGGTTTTTTCTACCAAGCCTATTGGGATATTGTTGGACCTCAAGTCATTACAGAGGTTCAACAATTTTTTCAGTCTGGTTCTCTTCCACATGAATGGAACTTTACTCAGATTCGTTTAATCTCGAAGAACCCAAATCCATCAAAAATGACAGACTTAAGGCCTATTAGTCTATGCTCAGTAATTTACAATATTGTATCTAAGATACTTTGTGGTAGATTGAAGATCTTCCTGCCAACAATCGTCTCAGACACGCAAGGTGCATTTGTCTCCGGACGGTTAATATCCGATAACATTCTCTTGGCTCACGAAATGATACATGCTCTAAGAACCAACCCGAGATGCGATGAAGATTTCATAACCATTAAAACCGACATGTCAAATGCGTATGATCGCGTGGAATGGAATTTCTTGGAAGAGTTATTATTACGGTTAGGCTTTGATATTCGTTGGGTTTAATGGATAATGAGCTGTGTTAGATCAGCTTCATATTCAGTAATCGTTAATGGAGCTTCATATGGTTTTACTAAACCCGAGAGAGGGATCCGTCAAGGCGATCCATTATCGCCTTTCCTTTTTATTCTTTGTGCCGAAGCTTTGGTCCACATAATGCACAAAGCGGAACATGAAGGACATTTGACGGGGCATAGACTAACTGATTCATGTCCCTCAATCCAGCACCTACTATTCACCGATGACAGTTTGTTTGTGTGTGTCGCTACCTTCAAGGAATGTACGGAGTTCCTTAACTAACTGCGGATATATGGGAGAGTTTCGGGTCAAGAGATTAATTTCCAAAAATCTGCTATCACATTTGGTAAGAAGCTAGATCCTTATATGAAACGTTTGATTGGCTTATTTACCGGCATTGAACAAGAAGGTGGAACCGGTAAGTACCTCGGGCTCCCGGAATGTTTAAGTGGCTCGAAGAGAGAAATCCTTGGCTTCATCACTGACCGCCTTAAACAGAGATTAAGTGGTTGGTATGAGGAAACGTTGTCGTTAGGCGGTAAAGAGGTTCTTTTAAAATTTGTGGCATTAGCATTACCGGTTTATGCAATGTCGTGCTTCCGCTTAACGAAACATCAATGCCAGAAGATTACAAGTGCTATGTCGGATTTTTGGTGGAATGAAAGTGAAGATAAGCAGAAAATGCATTGGGTCTCATGGGAGAAGATCTGCAAATCTAAGGCTCAAGGTGGTTTAGGCTTTAGAGATATAGGAAGTTTTAATCAGGCTTTACTTGCGAAACAAGCTTGGCGCTTATTAGATGTACCTAATTCACTGCTGGCTCGGGTCTACAAAGCAAGGTACTATTCCCAAAAAACTCTTTTGGAAGCCACAGCCGGTTATCGACCTTCATATGCATGGCGGAGCATTGTTTTTGGAAAAGAACTACTTGAGCGAGGACTCATGAAAGCTATCGGTAATGGGCAGAGCACGAATATTTGGATTGACAAGTGGTTATTCGATGGAATTCCAAGACGGCCTATGAACAAAGAATCTCCAATGGATATAAGCTTAAAAGTGAGTTCTCTGATAACATTGTAAGGTGATTGGAACCTGCAACTCTTAACAGAGTTTTTCCCACCTTCCGATGTTATTAAGATCAGATCTTTCTCTCCGGATCCACGTGTGGAGGATCGTTTCATTTGGGCTTACACAAGGGATGGACAGTACTCGGTTAAAAGT